TGTTTTTTACATTTCTAGTTTATTATTCCTAAATTTCTTTTTACAACAGTAAGCATATAATATATTCTTATTTCTCTTTTTTCCCCAGATAAAAAGTAGCATAATACACCCCCACATACACATAGCACTCTTTTGTATTTTTCTTATTACCCTAAACTCCAGTAATTTAATAGGCTAATTTTCTTTAGTAAGGTGAATAGCACAAAAATTTGAATTCCTTTTCCTCTAATTCAGATTACAAAATCATTCAATTATGGAAAATTCAAAGAGTGCTTTTGAAACTCTTATGGAATATTCAAAGAGTTATTTTTAATACGCAATCTCCCTTCAGTGCTCTGGCACAAAATGAAAGGGAGTTTTACCTAAAATATTAAAATTCTATTTGAATCCTTTTAAGTGACCATGGCAACATCTTCTCCTCTGGGTGACTTTAGCTGGCTCTACATTTCTGTCTGGAAAGGTAGCTGACAATTGCTTTAGGATCTTTCTTCCACCCTCTCTTGACCTCCCATGTTCTCCTAACATGGAGATGGCTCCTCCAAACCTGAAGAAGAAATAGTGAGCAGAAGATTGTAGGAGTGTACTAAAACAAATCTAAGGACAGCAAATGGGAAGTAAAACCTGAAAACGGAGAAAGGACCTGAGTAAAGGAGAAGATAAACCAGTTTCCATTTGTCTCCATTTGAAATGCTCAAAATATTTTTACGTTTAACAAAATAAAATTAAAAGAGATCACGGCAAGATCTAGGCACCTTATATTGGGTCTGAGAAACTTTTTAAAAGAATAACTATGAAACAGCAATCCCTGGAAATATTAAAAGTGTGCCTAAAGAAACAGATTGGACCAGATGATCTCTCTGGCATATCTTTTAGTTCTAAGACCAACATCATCTTTCTCCACCTATTCCCATCTCTCCCTTTCCACCTCCCTCTCTTCTTTATATCTAAATCATGTATCTTCCCGTTGAAATTGTATCACTACTTCTAAACCAGTTTCAGACCATGACTTCGGCTGGCCAGCAGAAAGAAATTCAGCAGACTGGATTTGGCACTCTCAGGTGAACTTACACTTCAGCAGAAGCTGAGGTCAGACAGGTAAATGAGGTATACAATCAAACTTTATGTACTATTCCCTATCAAATTTAGATCACACTGTTCAGCTTGGCATTCCTACATTCACTGGATCTCTATATTCTGAGCTCTATCCCAACTCTTACTGCTCTCTACTAAGAACCGCCATAACCAGCTCTTTCCTAAGAGCTATTAAAAACACCTCCCCAAATCTTATTCTTCTTCAAAATACAGCTCAACTCCACTTCCTCAGTAGTGTCCTGATGATTCTCCTTCCTTGTACTCTCACAGCACATGCTTGTGCTACTTATTTTAGAACATCATCATACTTCCTATAACCTCCAAATTCTCATAGCACTTATTAACCGCACCCTTCATTTAACACTTTTTACTAGGTCACATATATACTGGATATCTTCATGGCTGAGACACAACAGATATGCCCAATTAGTGAACTCGTCATAGCACAGCACTTTATACTTCTCTGTTACAGAGCTTTTTACATAGCATCTTAATCACTCGTTTATATGTATCCCCCTCACCAATAAAGAATACAAGCTTCCTGAAGGTGCCCTCTGTTAAGTTTCTTAGTACTGCCAAAGCCTAACATACTGCTCACAAGAGTATACAGTAAATAAATCCTTTACAAATTAGCGAATGAAAAACTAAATTAGCTAAAAACAAGAGAATATGATCTAGACCAGAGACTGCAAATTAGTAGTCCATAGGCTGATCCAGCCAAAAGACTTATGTTTGGCCTGCACAATGTGTAAGAAAACTAGAATTAGTTAAGAACATTTAGAAACTAGGAAATTGCACAAAAAAATCCAGATTTCTGACTTTTCTCAGGGGAAAAAATTGTGAGATCTGCCATATGACCTAAAGGCCTCAAGAGACTAGAGCACAGTTGCTCCCTTTATATTAGACATGCATTCTTCAGTTAGGCACCTTCTTTGCTTCACTTATTTATATCACCTGTCTGGCCCTTGCAGGTATGTAGGTTTACAACCAATGATATAGACCCATGAATCTCTGGTGGGCTTTCTAAGCCACTTATTCAAATTTGGGGCATTTCTAATCCCTATCATCATGTTTTTCCAATGCTAAACAGGTTTATGAAAATTTCCTAGCCTTCTCTCATTCCAAATCTTGACAAAAGGAGTCTACTGAACAGTAGTCCCTACTGGTAAAGCCAGAAAACACAGTTTAGATGGATCACTACTACTTGATTAGAATGTTTCTTGGTTCACGGGTCAAATTTTATTATGTATTTCCTCTAATGAAATATTCTATTAGAGTGGACTCTTATTCAAAGTATACTGTTAACAATCACTTCCCATACTGAGTCAGTCAGCTAAGAGAGAGTTTATCTTGGGAAATTAAATTCAATAAATATTTCTGCAGTGTTTGCAAAATTATAGGCCCTGTGAAATGGTTAAGACATGAGCTTAAAATCTCCAAATCTACCAAGTCTGGTACCAAATCTTGGCTCCATTCTTTAGCTGATAAATTCTGGAAACTTACTTCTTTAAGTCTCAGTTTCCTTACCTTTAAAATTTGGACAATAACAGTACTTACTTCATAAGACTGTAACGTGGCTTAAGGAGAGAATGATGTGAGGCACTTTAGTATATAGTGCCTGGCACACAGAAAATAATAAAAGAAGCTATCATTTGAGTATGAGTACAGAAACAAAAACTAAAGAAACAAGATCTCTGAACAAAAATTCCTAAGTTTTATAATAGTGTTATTAATATAGCGTATGGAAACACAAAAGAGATTAATTCTACAGGGAGAAGAGAAGTAACACGTGAGCTGAAAGAATAAACAGGAAAATAATAACTGGCAAAAGGGCAAAAGAGAGGAATTCCAAAGACAAGCAAGAGAAAAACAAAAGCAAGAAAGAAATTAAAGTGTTTATTTCCTGGGACAGTTAGTAGGCTGGAATAGACATAAGAAGAAAGAGTATATGAGAGGGAACTAGCAAAAACTAAAGTTAGGAAAGATGGCCAGGACCAGGATTCAGGCTTTCAAGCCACATTTATCGAGGCTTACTAAATGGAAGCACTGTGCCAGGGCATGTAATAGAAGAAAAGATATTTTAAAAACCCCTTCCCTAAGGATACTTGATTATCTGGCATGGTGCACAGCATATCACTGGTGTACAATAAATCTGTAAATGTCAACTAATAAATCTAGTTAAACGAAAATGACAAAGCTTTGAAACAGGAAGGCTTAAGAGAAACAAGAGTAACTACCATCTGACAGCAGACCTAAAACTCTATAAACCCTCTTCTTCCACGTGCACTCACACACGTACACACACCCCACAGAGCACACAACTGGATAGGTTCCATATAAGAATATGAACATAACATGTGCACACACAAAGGAAAGGAAGCTGAATTATTTGTCATGCAACATAAATTAGGTAGGTAACTAATTTGATGGCACATCAAAAAGCTTAGATGGAGAACTAGGGCTTCTTAAAGAAGTGGCTGATTCTAGGGATGGGGCAGGGAAAGCAAAAGATGAGCCCGGAACATCTTTGTGGTGACAGCAACTTAAAAAGTGCAAAACAAACAAAAGAATGGGGCCATGTCAAAAGGGCACAGGAGCCAACCTGTAAGAGCTCTCAATGGCCAAAGCTCTGTCACCCAATTTGAGTGACAAATAAGCAGCACAAAGATAAAATAAATATCCATGAGTGATACTATTACAAATAAATGACTGAATAAATAAATAAAAGGAGGAGATAAGTCTTCCTTACAGAAGAATCCCAATTAATAAATATAGACGGAATGAAGAAAAAGAGAAATCACCACTAGAAAACAATAAAAACTGCTGTAGTTATGATCTACCAATGAATGCTAAAAATTAATAAGCAAAAGTTTAAGAAACAGGGTACTTGTGTGCCCTCAAAGTATCTCCCCAAAACATTTTATAATTTACAAAATGATAAACAGTAATTTTATAGTGGAGAAACCTGGCAAACATCACCTTAACCAAAGAACCAAGGTTAACATTACTAATAATCAGACAGATACTGACATCGAGTACCCCCTGATATGATACACAGAGAAGGGCACATCATCTCTGCATTACTCTTCCCAAAAATACATCACCTCATGAGAAAACATGAGACATATCCAAACTGAGGAACAATCTAAAAATAATTGACAAGTACTCTTCAAAAGTGTCAAGGTCATAAAAGACAAGAAAAGACTGAGGACCAGTGACAGATCGGAGGAGACTAAGGAGACATGACAATTAAATGCAATGTGGGATCCTAGATTGGATCCTGAATTAGATTCTGGAACACAAAAAGAACATTAGTAGAAAAACTGATGAAATCTGAATAAAGTCTACAATGTACTTAGCAGTTAATAGTACTGTCTAGTCAAGAGTGTTGTACCAACATTAATTTCTTAGTTTTGATCACGGTACTATGGTTATATACAATGTTAACATAGAGGAAATGAATGAAGAACATATGGGAATCTTTTGTACTATTTATGTGACTCTTCTATAAACCTAAAATTCTTTCAAAATAAAAAGTTTAAAAAAAATCTTGGATAATAAAAACAGTACTAGTTGCAATACTATGTTTTTTTTACCTTAGACTCACTATCAATTCACCCGAACTGTGGGTATTGTTCTCCAATGCAAGCTATATTATCTCCGCTCTTACTTTATGCTATGTCAGTCCTATAATATAATAAAGCTCTAACAAACTAATATTCTACCAAAAATAAAGTTCTTGATCTAATTAAAAACACTCAATTCTCCCTTTTTTGACATCCTAAAAATGACTAGTATTCAGAATTTCATCTTTAGTTATATAAGCCTTCACAAAGCTTTATCTTCAATAGAAGCCAACACTGTTATTGCTTACAACATAAAAATAATAATTTAAACAAAATCCTTACCTTCCAACCACTGCCAGCCTCTCTATAATATGGGAAGTTATCACAAATCCACTGGTAAATCTCACTTAGAGTCATTTTCTTTTTGGGTGAGCTATTAATTGCAAACGTAATGAGGCTGGCATAACTGTATGGAGGTTTCCCATCTTTGTGCTGTTGGACTTCTTCCTGGTCCAGGGTTGTATTTGGGTCAAGGAGTGCATTCTTCTTGGAAATTCCTGTCCCATGTGCATTTTGTGTAGCATCAGATTTTTGGATGGCTGCTCTCATGGTGAGCTGTGGTAACCAGTCCATAGATGTTAGGCTGCTCTCCAGTTCAGATGTCATCCTGAAGGTAAATAGACTCCTTAGTCAATATAAAGGAAAGAATCCCTGCTTCTCAAAATATCCAATATTCACAAATCTAGGAGTTCCAAAGCTCATGAGGGAAAGCCTGAGTTAAATCTGGAGGAAAAAGATTGAGTATGTTAATGACCAAACCAAATATTTAAGGGATCAACATTTCCAATCTTTTTTCTTAATTTTTTCCTCTCTAAAACACAACAAATTTGGTTTTAAAATGTTTAAAATACAGAACAATACATACACACAAAGTGTTTCTGGTGCCAATCTTTCCAAAAAAGACTGTCACTTTAAATAGGGCAACAGGATCCAAGTATGAAAAAATCAGTCTGCAGTCCAGCTCTTTACTCACCAACACCACAGGCCCTTTAAAAACTTAAGATTGTACATACATCTGGCATTTCTTTTACAAAAATTTTAGGGGAGTATACAAACAAAAGAATTCCAAAAGTAAAGTGGAGGGAAGAGGTCAGAGAAGTAACTGAGAAATGGGCACAGGAATTTGCATCAAGTAAAGAAAGTAGAGTTGAGCTCGTGGGAGGTAAGAAGAGTAAAGCAGGGTAGACAAGAATAGCAAGTAGACAGGCTAGCTGGGGGAGTAGACCGAAAAGAGGAATGCAAACTCAAGGACACTGATGAACAAGAGAAAAGGAGGATAGGCAGTACCAGGCAGTTTTAAAAAAAAAAAACAAATCAAGGAACAAGCTTAACAAAACCAAAGATTTGGGAGTGTTGGATACAAGAGATTAAATCACATAAATGGACAGCAAGAGAAGAAGCAGTAAAAGCTTAAGGACAGGCTTATGCAAACATCCAGTGATATGGATTCTGTAATGTATTTGTCTTCAAGGCTGAAAAATTTAGACCATTACCACTCAGAGGGAAAAAAAGAAAAACAAAATCTGCCAGGTTAACACATATTCTGAAGAAGGGAGGAAGCTGCTCTAAGAACTGAAGATAAAAATATAGAAATAAAGCTTGACTCTTCACAGCAGAATTGCTAACTTTCAGCAGAGGGTACACACCTTTCTACCCTGGGATCAAAGAAGGCTGACAATAAAGTAGAGAAGAACGAAAGACTTCTAAATGATACCAAAATACAGCAAAAAAGAAAAAAACAAAATAAGAAATTTAAAGCATCTCAGTTGACAGAAAAACTGTGGTTAAGAAAATCCCATATAGGCCCCTCATCCCAAACGGCTGCAGGCAACAAGCAACCTGCAGTACATGCTTAGGATCTGAACTTCTGGGAGGCAATATAGAACTGATAAAGAGGCTCTTGAGACAGGCAACCAGAGTTCAAGTACTAATTCTACCAGTTACTAACCATCAGACTATGAAAACGTTAATTAATATCCCTAAATTCCAGCTTTCTCATCTGTACAATGAAACAATAAGAGTACCTACACTTAAAATATTACTTTGGAATTAAATGTGATAACGTGCACAGAAGAAACATTCAACATGTGTTAGTTAATAATATTACTCTAGGAGTATCTTGGGAGGGAACTAATGCACTATAAAGTAAACCAGATCAAGCAACAGCAATTATAATTCAAGAGACAGCCATGAAGGTTCTGTCTATATTGCCAGGAGTTCTATTATCTTGTTTTTCAGATATTTTAATCCACAGTTTTACCTTTCTCATTTTCTCAAATTCCCGCCATCTCTACTGTATGCATTCCTCTGAAACCTGAACTTTCTTTTCCCCCCGCCCCCACCCCGCGCCACCTCCCCTCCCCCCCGCCCCCAAGAAAGATTAGCCCTAAGCTAACTACTGCCAGTCCTCCTCCTTTTGCCAAGGAAGCCCAGCCCCAAGGCAACATCCGTGCCCATCTTCCTCCACCTTACATGTGGGACGCCTACCACAGCATGGTGTGCCAAGCAGTGCCATGTCCGCACCCAGGATCCGAACCAGCAAACCCCAGGCCACTTAGAAGCGGAACGTGCGCACTTAACCACTGCGCCACCAGGCCAGCCCCCGAACTTTCAATTCCTTTATACAGAACCTTCAGAGATCTAAGAACAACTTACCATCCCGCTCTACAATCTCAGCCATAAATGCTTATTCCCAGCATGAAATAAATTATAAGAACCGGTGGAATAAGGAGACAAGATAATTTAGAGACCACAGAATATCAAGAGTAGGCAAAGTACCCTAGAGATCAGAGACCAATGTCTTCACTCCAAAGGTGAAAAATTAAGGTCTACTGAAGTTAAAGACTTGCCCAAATTCACACAGGTACTTAAGAGCAGAACTAAAACCAGAGCCCAGATCTCCTGATGCCCAATCCAGTAGTTTTTCTACTGCACCTCATCTGTAAAGTGAGAATAATAGTACCTACCTCACTGATGTAAAGTATTCAAAACAGTGACCGGCAAATAATAAGTATTCAACAAATGTTAGCTACTGGTGGTGGTGGTGATAACAGTAGTTGCTGTTATTACTATTCACATTTCATTCTATAAACATTGACTATTACTATACCATTTTGTCATCCTATTTGCCTCAACTAAGTCTCCACTGAGTACCTTTATTTTGTTAAAATTCCCAAAGCACCCAGTCACATACATTTTCAAACTTAATATAAAAGCATGTTCTGAAATGGAATATAATTGATATCACAGATGCCCCCTATTGAGAATCTTTAACTTCTGTTTCCCTCCACCAGTGCCAGTAATTGAGACTTTGAGAGTCTCAGTAATATAAATATACAATAAATAGGTACTTAATACATGTTACGACGTTTAGCAAGAATTTATAATTACACATGTGTACAGCGCTATGCTGGAGTGAGATTTTATACACATACACACACACACAGGAAGTATGATAAAATTCCTGACCTCCAGGAATCTATAGTCCAATTAGAAAAGTCAAGCACAAGAAAGAGCTGAAAAAGAGTGCAAGGCTGAGCTCTGGGTGCTCTAATGGTTCAAAAAACGGAAAGAACGTGGACTGCAGCCTTGAGAGGTAGAAAAGAACGAACTTCAGCTAAGACCTCAAGAAAGTCAAGATCTGAACAGGCTGGAAAGTCTAGTCATCAGAGTCCCTAGTCATCAGAGATATGAGTGAGAAGTATTCCATTGCCATGCTTCTTTTCATCAGTTCTGCTAGAGCAGATTTAAAGTACACTATAAAATATCTCTCAAGTTTAAATTCTAAAAAAGTGTTTGCAATTTATTAAATTTTATATATTCTTGGTCACTACAGTGGTTCTCCATTGGGCACTGAAAACAGAAAAAAGGACTGTTAGATTTGACTAGATTATCAGTAACTTTAGAAAGAAATCTCTTAGTGAAATGGTGGTGACAGAAGTCTACTTGTACAAGAGAACAGATGGTGGTAAATTTAAAAACAGCATGAGAGGCTCTGAGGAATCTGGTTATGGAAATCTGGTTAAGAAATGTCGGGCCCTCATTACCTCACCTCATACCAAACGCTTCTTAGCTGGCCTCCTAGACTCTGATTTCTCAGCACTCCTCCCTGCTAATCACCTCCAGAGTCTATGCATACACTCAAGAGAAATGTGTCAGCATTCTTTCATGTTATTGTGCCCCAAAACGTTCAATGGTCCCCTTTCTCCTATTATACTAAACCTAAACTCATTTTCAACTACTTTACCTTTTATTAATCTCTTATTAATCTTTATCTAAATTCCTAGAGCAATTATAATCTCAGTTTGGCATTTACCATGCTGTTTCATACGAATAATTGCATCATACACCTAAGCTTTCTACTCTCACTCTCTCTTCCCTACCTCCTCATTGAGGATAGAGACCATACATTAGTACTTCAGATGCTACCTAACACCCTGGCAGGTTCACGTTACCTAAAAAATAACATAGTATTTGGATAAGAAATAAGAGTCTTCCTTTCTGGAATACCTTTTCTTTCTTACTCTGCTTAGCTAACTACTTCTTTTACTTCAAGACTCAGATCAAATATCTCCCCCTCCAGGAAGGCTGGGCAATCCACTCTTCCCATCTTCCTTCTCCTAAACTGAACTAGAGCCTGCTCCCGGACTAGAATATAAATACCTCTATCACAAGACTTGTACATAATTATAACTATCTTTATCTCTCTCTCTCTCTCCCCTGAGACCATGAGCTGCTTGGAAAAAGGAACTTTCTTATTCTTTTCTGTCTCCCCAATGCCTAGGAATATAGTAGGTAAAGGGTCAATAAATGGTGGTTAAATGATTGAAATAGTGACCACCCAATGATGCTGTGGATGTGTTCCTCCACAAACAAGACCACACACATTTAAAAGCAAAAAGGAGGAGGTGAAAGAAAAGAAGTTATAACAGCATGAGATAAAGATAATCACAGGACTGAAGTCCTTTATGAATTAGAAAAAAGCATGACTTTGACAAGTAGCACTACACAGGAACAAAGACAGTTCTACTGGAATAGCAAAGAAAAATACAAAGATGGAAGCAAAGATAAAAAGATACTGCGACTTGTGGGAGAAAGGCAGGCATGGAGAACTTATGTCTGAAGTTCTTAAATCTATGACGGTTATCTGTTGCTGAAAAGAAGTTCCATGAGGAATTTTCCTGCATAAAACAAAAAGGTAAAGAGCATCAAGATATAACAACTGAAGACTGTCATGACATGACGGGAGGAGAGGGGGTTCTAATCCTACTCTATAAAACACTGCTACTGATATGATCCCAAACATGCTTTTTGCACATTGCTTGGCCTCCCTCTGCAACTTCCCTAACTCTCAAGGACTAGTCAAAGCTTACTCAGAAAGCTTTCCAGTTTTCAACAGTATCAAAAAGAAAGGAAATGGGGGGCCTGCCCAGTGATGCAGCAGTTAAGTTTGCACATTCCACTTCAGCGGCCCAGGGTTCTCCGGTTTGGATCCAGGGTGCATACCCACAGCTTGTCAAGCCATGCTGTGGGAGGTGTCCCACATATAAAGTAGAGGAAGGTATGCACGGATGTTACCTCAGGGCCAGTCTTCCTCAGCAAAAAGAG